GTGGCTTTATGTTTTTATAGCTTCATCATCTACCTATTTTGTCATCCGGGTCACTCAAATGTCCTGCTTCACTTTACCACTCTTCCAAAATCTACATCATCAGATACTTTGTCCTATGTGTGTAGACTTTACCTCTTAAATCAGTGTCCTATTGGTATCATCCTAATTCCAGCCACCATCATCACCCCACATTTACCTGTGGCTCCTTCCAAATACTTTTGTAGGTAGTGTACCCAAGGTGGTCTTCTCAAAACGCAACCAAACCACACCCCTCTTTTGTTACTAGTTCCGCATACCCATAAGACGCAGAGCAAAACCCCTGGGAAGCCCAGATAAACGTTAAACATGATCTGGCCCATGCCTCTATCTCAATAATTCACTTTTTCACTTCTCTCTCTCGTCCCTGATCTGTGTACTCCCCTAGACCTGAATACATGAGGGTAACTTGTGAAAGCCTCTTATGATACACTGCACTTCCCTATGTAACTCTCAGTTCAAGATCATGCTGAAAGTTACAAAGGGCTATTTGTCCAGCGTCCATCTGATCCACTACATTCTTACCAAAGTCAGGCACGGGGGCTGGTTGGCAGACAAGCACTAACCCTAAACAGATGAAACCTACGGAAGGAGCAGGGGAAGCACAAAGACAATGAATGAAAGGATCAAGCTGGCTCCTCGGGTCACTCAGACGTGTCTACCGAAAATTTTAAAAAGTCCTTGAAACAGAGAAGTGTTTCAGCTCTTGGAATCACCAAGTCTCTATGACAAAAAACTTCTAGAACCTGAATGAAAACCTACGACACAGTGATGAAACACATTAAAGTACAGGTTACACAATACCAATTACTCAAACAAAACTAATAAAACATAATACAGATAAAACCCAAGGAAAACTAATTAAATCAAAACCAGGCATTTACACAGTATAAAAACAGCAGGCTAAAGGCACAGTAATAATCCTTTAACTATTAAGGACTGACTATGATACTAAGCATTATGAATATTTACAGGAAAATCATCTAGAAGCTGTCCTGAATTCATTGTGACTTATATGTAAAAATATTTCTATAAAGGAAATTAGGACAATAATCCCAATGCTTTATAACAAAACTTGGAGGAAGGTTCCCCTTTTTAAGGATGAGGAAACTGAGAAAGGAATAAAGTAATTGCAGTAAAGTGATTTAAGTGGAATTCATACACTGATCTCAGATCTTAAGACACTGCTCCTTCTGTGAAATCATTTGAAGAGTTTTATCATATCTTTTCTTTTCATCATATATTTTTACTTAATAGCTTAATTTTTTTTAATCAAAGATTTCTTTCAGGTATTTATTTCCTTTTTGTTTTTAATTACATTTATAAAATAAAAAGGAACCTTGGTGGCGTAATAGTTATAAGTAGAGCTGTAATCGCAAGGTCTGAAGTTTGAAACCACCAGCTGCTCCTTGGGAGAAAAACTGGGCTTTCTATTCTTGCCCCCCTCCCCGCTCCCGCCCCCCCCCCCCACCCCACAATGGACATGGGTTTTTATTGGAGGCGTTTGGGGAAGGAAGGAAAGGAACTAGTGTTGGTAGGTAGCTAGGGGAGGGGCTTCCCCTTGCTTTTTAATTTAGTACACATCGCCTGGAGGCTAGGGTGCAAGAGAACAACTGGACAAGTGAGAGGGGAGGCGCAGAGAAGGGCATAGGATGGCTGGAAGCTAGAACTGGATATGTGGCCTGGGGGTGCGGAGAGAAGGCACTCTTCCTAGACTGCGACTCAACCAGCGTCACCAAGCTTGACACCAGCTTGCCCAACTCCCACCTGTCCCTTCTGAGCTCAAGCCCCAGGTACCTGCTCCTGTAGTCCCTTAGCTTCCTGTGAAGAGAAGGGAGATGAGGGTTTAGGGAATGGTGACGCCCTTCTGCCCACCAACTCCCTTCCTGAGAGAGAACTGCCTACTGGGCCCACCCTGGCCCCCTGGCCAGGGTCAGGTCAGGAAGCCCAGGGTCGGGAAAGTGAACAACGTGGCCCTGGCCGCCCCGCCTCACTCTGCTCTACCGAATCCCTCACATGGGAGTGCAGCTCTTGGCCCAATCCTTGTGTATCTCGCCCTCGGTTCCCAGGTCTGGCCGTCCTGACAGCTGAGCGATCCCTGCAATCCCCGGCACGAGTCAGAACGGCGTGGCTTCCTATGACCACGGCCCAGGTAGGCCACTGTGGCCACGTGAAAAACATCCCTGAAGCTGTGTGCAGAGGATCGGGAGGAGCACAGCCCCCACCTGCTTGGCCAGCTCCCTCAGTGTGGCCAGCTCAGTCCACAGGTCCAGCTTACAGCCAACCCACACAACCTTAGTGCTGGGGCAAAACTCTTGAGTCTCCCCTGCCACCTCTTTAGGAGAGTGTCCAGTGTTTCTGGTGCCTGATGTCAGAGCAGACAAGCACAGCATCAGAATGTGGATAAGCCAGAGTCAGACATGATCTTAGCAAGAAGAACCTGAAGTGTCCCACGTCGAGCTCAATGTGGCGCCTGTCCATCTCAAAGGTGGCTGTGTAGTTAGTTCTCGCACAGTGGGGACCCAACTCCTGTGAGAGTCGTCCTGCCACACTCCGCGTCCCCAACCACAATTTTGCAATGGCTGCTCCCTGGTCCTGGCTACGCGCCTGCACCCCAACGCCGCCCCACTCCCAGGCCCTGCCGCCACTTACCCCAGCGCGAGCCCACACTGGCATCTCGAGGGCCTAGCCCCCACCCTGGCCGCAGCTCCCCACCTCCGCCCTGCCCCTGGGTTTTCTATTCTCGTGAACAGTCTCAGTCTCAGAAACTCACAGGGGCAGTTCTACCCTTGTCCTACAAGCCAGGATAAAGAAGAATATATGATAGAAAATTGTAACTTCAAACTAGGATAAGGAGGTGGCCCATTTATTACCCTTTTAGACATTTTCTTAATAGACATATTTTAACCATTAATGGAATTCTATTATAAATGCTGATTATAAACTGAATTTTTTAACCCTAAAAACAATATACTTATTTATCTCTACCTCAATTTTACACAGAATACTTTGTACAGATATCGTGACTGGCTTATGCAAGTTACTGAAAAACAGTTTTGTGTTTTTGGGTTCTCTGATGTTTTGTGTTTTGGTTGCCTGGTATTACTTAGTCACTCAACAAGCTGATCTTTCAAGATAGAGGCTTTTGACAACTTGGCATGCAATGAACTGACACGAGTTATGTTGGATGAGAGTCCTAATTTCCAAAGTCCCCAGCACTTGTTCTTCTCAAAGAACACGACATCCAATTATGCATGCAGCAGTCTCAGCAGGTACTCTAACCTGGAGCTAGGTAGCTCTGAGAAGACGTAAAATCTACCTCTCCTAAAAGATAAGTCACTTGACTTCTTTGCATCAATTTTCCCATCAGTCAAGTACTGGCTACAGAATTTACTGAACCTACCAAGTAGATTACTGTAAAGACCAAATACACTTTGAAAAATTTAAACCAAAAATTAAAAATGCTATACAAACGTGGGGCTATTTTTTAAGTTTCTCATAAATAAATAAAGTGTAATAAAAAGTTATCTAAGTTTAAAATACCCCACTGGAGATCCCCTTGCAGCCACTGGAGATCCCCTTGCAGAGGGGTCTCGGGGAGGAGAGGAGCCAGTCAGGGTGCGATGTAACAATGATGAGAAATATAACTTTCCTCTAGTTCCTAAATGTTTCCTCCCCGCTCCCACTACCATGACTC